GAACATTAAGTGAACAAACCATTAAGTGAATACCTAACTATAACGGAGGTAGTTTTTAAGTAATATCTTTGGTGACAAAAGAATATTAAGTTGACATATCATTTTAATGTGCACTTGTCACTGAATATTACAAAAAATGATTGATGTCGAAGCAATACTAATTTTTGTTTATTTGCCATACCATTGTTATAATTTCCCATGGTAATGTTATATCTTCAGACTCCTTACTATGATGGTAGCAACATTACATGATGTAGAAGAAGATAGAGAAGGAAAGAGTTGAAACACTCATTATAGATATGAGAAGGTGGCTTTGGGTTCTGCAGACATAGAAGAAGATATGAGAAGCATAAGGTCATTTTCATCTTTTAACTAACATTTCATAATTCTCATTTAGAACTGGGTCTCTAATAAGAATTATATAAATTTAAGGATTTTATATATTTGAGAGTTTTTATCTTTGATTTTCCCAATAACATTGTTGCTTATCAATTTCAAGGTCCAGAATAGAGCAGTTCTCTATAAATTAAAAAGGGTGTTTGCCAATAGAATTGTTTACTCATCAAACAAAAGCTTCTTTTGTTATATATATATATATATATATATATATATATTTATATATACATATATAACTTATGAATTTTAAAAGGATAGTTGTAAATTTGTTAGAGTATGAATTCTAATAGTAGTAGTTAAGAATTCATAATTTTATCGACAGCTACTTGGCAAATTCACAGCTACCCTTCTAAAAATTTATTGATAATTTATATTAGAAAAATTAATCCTGCCAACTAAACAACTTACCGACAATTTCCTAATGAACTTTACATTTATAATTGTCACACTCTACTTTAGGATCATAAACTAGTCATGATTAGAGATAAGCACTTCAGAATATTGTGCAAGTAGTTTTCAATCCATAAGAGTTGGTTTAGTTAGTAAGATCATAAGTTAGAATCCTGCTGTTGATATGAGAATCTTATTGATAGATGATCTCCAAATATCTTTGTAAATGCGTTTTTAGCCTAGAGGCATGTTTTGATCCTAATGAGCCTCTTGGACTCAATTCACCTAAACTTTAACTGTATAAAAAAAAATCCAAAGACAGAATTTTTCAATCTCAAGGTTTCACTTGATGTTTCATATAATCATATCTCAATGGGAGAATTACTGTTTGGTTTTAAAGAAGAAATTTAATTATCCGAAAATAAGTTTTAAGTATTATGTTTCATATAATACTGAAGAGAATACTTCGGCCTATACACTTATCTGGTTGCACACCACCAGCAATTAATTGGATAAAAAATTAATTTTGATGGAGCTAAGATAACTACTAACCGCAAGGTTGGTTGTGGAGGAGTTTTGAGAGATCACTGTGAATATTGAATTGCTGGTTTCAATAAAATTATAGGAACTTGCTGAAGCACAGAAACGGGCTATTTACAACGGTCTAAAATTTGGCCAGGGATCTAGGTTTTAGGAGGTCATTCTTAAATCTAACACAAAAGAATTGATGCATTTGTTGACAGCAGTTATGCCTCAACAATACTGGCAACTTTTTAAATATAAAAGTTGATTGAGAGTTAGATTTGATTCTAAATATAAAACCTTAATTAATTTTTCTTTCCAAATTTATATATATTTTTTCAAAATATCTTTATTAATTGTAAAGGGTTTTCATCAACAGGTAATTTCAATATACATAATTAAGTATGATAATTTATAAAAATCAATATACATTTGTTGTTACAAGTAACCAATCTAATTAATTTTTTCAGTCTCTCTAAATTAGTTTTCTAATTTCTATATTAAGAACCCGAGGTAGTATTTATCAAAACTCAACACATGATGCAATTTGACTAGGAGATGCATTTGCATCATACTCCTTTTGGTTCTTATTATAAGTTGTTTCTAACTAATTCATGCAAACTAATAAAAATAGTTAACAGCATTAAATTTGTCATAAAATTTAAATGATCTTCAATATTGCCCTTATTAATTATGCTAAACTCTAACATCATATTAATTTTTATTCTCACACTACCCTTATTAAATATGGGCATATATGGCAAAAAATATCTAATACTCTTTAAAACCAAGCAAATGCCTTATAAAAAAGACACAGAATACTTGTTAGTTTTTTTTTTTTGACCGGAAATACTTGTTAGTTGATACCTTATAATAAAGACAAGAGAAAGTATTACACATCCAAATATATAATAGTGTTGCTCATGCTCAAGCCGAAGAAGGATTAAGAAACTGAAAATCTTGCTTGTTAGACATGTGTCCAAATCATTTCTCGTCCTCAGTGAACCATAATTTTATGGGAATCAGTTCCTCAATATTTAATCTTTAAGGGTATTATAGGGCCTTAGCTCTCCTTTTCTACCAAAAAAAAAACTCAATTGGTGAAAAATGTTGTGAGAATGTATACGTGGGTTGAGGAATTGGACATGTGGTATATTTGCTGGGTTAACTCCCTCTTTCCTTCTTGTAGTCTCTCGTCCTCTAGAGTATATTAGTTGTTGTCATAGGCAGGGTCCAACTTTGTGATTTGACGCGTGTGGCCTGCTAGTTACTCCTCAAGTCCTATTTATAAAGTAGAGAGACAAGGTTTTTTTTTCCCTATTTATAAGTTATTTTATTAAATTTTCAGTATGAATGTACTATTTTGTCCTTCTTTTATTATGGTGTAGGTAGTTTTTTTTTTAAAAAGTGTATATATTAAATATAGGTAAAATTAAAAAATTGTTATATTGTAATAGAGAGTTAATGTATTTTAAAGTTTTTTTTATCTATATAAAATATATTAGAAGTGCTTTAAAAATAAAACCGAAGAAACACTTCATAAGACTTTCAAGTATGCCCTCGGAAACTTTTGCACATGCGTGCACAAAATCCGAGACAAATCATTTATTTAGAGTTGAAAAAGAAGCTTAAAAATACTTATGAGCACATTACACATAAAATCGAGATAAAATTTTTCTCGTATAATTATCTTGTATTTTGTAAATTACAACTAAAAAGCTATTTATAAATTATTCTAAATAGACTTTTAGTTTTGTGAACATTGTAGCTGTGTATGTTTATATTGACCAAAACCTATCATTAGCATTACGCAAATTCCACATTCATCTTTGTAGCAATTAAAATTTTTTGGTGTGTTGTACCGGAGTTTTTTTTCAACGCCGTTAAGAGTACAGGCATTGTGAAACATTGGGGTGCCTCAATGCCTTGCAGTGGCGTGATCTCATAGAAGCAAGTGTGCGAGTTCCCTCGTACGACAGAGTTTCAAAGAATTGGTTGGTTTAATAAGAGTCTTAAGCTTTGGGTTGACTCAGATTTGTCAGCAAGAATTGGGAACTATAATTCAGTTAGTTATAATTGTTGGTTTAATAAGAATTGGGAACTATAATTCAGTTGGTTTAATACGAGTTTCGTACTATAATTGTTGTTATTTTTTTTTTTAATGTTGTCGTTAGTTAATGTTTTCGATTATTTTTGCTAATAATGTGTTCTATTTTTTTGTTTTTGGAAGTTTGGTCGACCTTATCCTTTGGTTTATTTGAACTCAATTCAAATTAACTAAATGTGACGATCAGTCTTTTAATATGATTTTTTTATCTCGTATTTGAATAAATTTGACTTTTTATAAAAAATATTGATACTTATATTTATCTTGATAATTGGTAGACATGAAAAAGTAAATGATCATGCATATTAAACTTAAAAGGGAAGAACCAAATAACAATTTGTTTGATGCGTAGGATGAATTAAACTGAAATAGTGACTATAATTTATTTATTTATTTGTTGTTGGCCAAAAAAAATTCTTTATTCAAAGAATCCTAAACTAAAGCGCTTAATATGTCATTTCCAAGGAGAGGCGAAGTCCTGCGTTATTATCGACAAAGAATTTAAAAAAAGTAATGGTCGGTTGATTGCCTGCTCACCTTGTGGGCCGCACATTCACAGCTGATTTGACTTGCCACTGTGAATCTTTAAAACCTCTCACCAATTGAGACATGCCACGTGGTGCAATGTTAGGATTACAAATCTTAATGCATACTTCTTGCCTGCCTTGCTTGTCTTATGAAGCGTGATTCCCTCCTTTTGGTACCACAAGCCTAAATGATCCTACCTTCACGACATGGGGCACATTCATATCATCCACTTTTTCTTTTTAATATTATAAGCTTTTGATTAAAATTTTCTATTAAACATACTATTTATTGTTAATAGCTAGTTGTCCCAAGGATTGTCGATGGAGTTTCAAATTCAAATCTGACAATAATATATTTGTGTGTGCCCGTGCTTGCCTTTAATGTATTATATTAAAAAAAACATGGGATTTAATGCCAAATATAATTCGAATTACGCCATCCGATTCTATATATAAGAGAATTCTTTTAGAGATGATAATTCTTGATTAAAAGATAAATTAATAATTTATTTAAATTTTTTAGTATTATTTTTTTATTTTTACCCCTATCATCTATTTGCCAGTTTCCTTACATATAGTTTATCCACTCACTTGATTTTGATAAACAAAGATAAAAATAACCAAATTATATGAATAAAAAATTAGTTAAAAACAATAAATATGTAAATGCAATTTATTTTGCAAGAGAGCGAATGAAGAATGGAGTATTTAAAATGTAAGTGATACTTCGCAAAAGGGTTATAGAGTCCGTTTAGAATGACTTATAAGTAATTTTTTAATCTAAATTTATGAAATACGAGACATGTCAAAAGAGTTTTGTCTCGACTTATATAAAATATATTAATAAATAATTTCAATCGTGATCCCAAATAGGCTTATAATTATACGTTTAGGACCAAATAATCTTTAAATGTGGCCTAAACATATTAGATGCTATTTCTTAATCAAATTTATTGAAATCTTTTAAGCATGCGAGGCGTCTAGTTTAAAAAGATTCTTCCAAGCGATCTCTGTCTCTTCCTCTCTCTTCCCTCCTAGAAATTAAAGCATTACAGTGGCTCATCACACTTCTATATATATTACTCTTATCTCAGTCATCTTCCTCACCCCACTCATCACTCTTTTCTGCCTCCTTCTTTGCTTTCCCATATTCACTACAATTCTCCTTTTGCTTCTTCCCAAAATGGCCAGTGTTCAGGTACCCATATCTATCTGTCTGTCTGTCTATATCAAATTAAATCAAAGACATATACGTAGCTTTCTGCTGATTTAGTACATTTCTCAAAAATAGATGTAGTTTAGTCTTTTAACGTTCCTTCCATTTCATTCCATTAACTTATTCTTCTTCTTTGATCTGATCTGAGAGATCGGTGGCTCCATTAATGGCGGTGGTAGCCCTCCAAAACTAGAGCAGATCACTGACACATATGAACAGCTTATGCTGCTTGACGATGAATATATATATATATATATATATAAATAATTAGTCTCATTCCCCCTTCTTTTCAAAACTGTTAAAACAATGATCAATAAATCTTGCAGGTAGCACAAGCAGTGAAAGACAACGAAAAGGAAACAGCCTCGGAACAACCAGCGGTCATAACCGAGGTTGCTGCAAAAGTTGAAGAAGAAAAAGAGACAAAGGAAGAAGCAAAACCTGCTGAGGAGGCTAAAGCCGATAAGGATGTTGAAGAAGAAGCTATGAAGAAGGAAGAGAATAAAGAAACTGCCGAAGGAAAGAAAGCCACTGAAACTGAATCATCAGTTGCAGAAGAAGAAGAAGAAGAGAAGAAGCCAGTGATGGAAACAGACATGGAAGCCGCCAAGGAAGTTCCTGTTGAGGGAACTGATTAAGCTTATTACTAAGAGAGGCCTTTCAATGAGAGAGGAAAAAAAAGTGGGTTTCACTAGTATTCCCTTTAATTTCTCTCTCTCTCTCTCTCTCTCTCCCTCTCCCTATTTATATTTGGCTTTCTTCAGGCTTTCGTTCTGGTTCTGCATGCTTGAATTCTCAGCTCGCTATATATAATTTTGTGTTTGATAATGGTGAAAAGGTGCTGAGCTCCTCACGAGTTTATGATATGAAAGATATGGCTATACACGTTTGATCATCTTCGTATGCTTGCATGTATGCAATTTACTCCTTTTTTTTTAATTATTATATAAGGTATCTTTTTGAGTTTTTAATGCATGAGAGTGGGTATAAATATACGTGATTTATATATCTTCAACTCTTTTTTCTTTGTCCCCTACTTACTTTAATAGCGAGTAATGAATTTTTATTTTGAAAAGATTCAAATAATTAATGCAAGAGATCTAAGCTTAATTCTGCTCTACAAAATTGGTTTAGCTCCTCAGCACCCACTCTGGATAGTTCATATTTATTTTTCGTTTTTTTAAAATACTACAATGTGTATAGATTCCAAAATAAAAATAAACCATTAACTTTTTATTTAAGAACTAGAAAATTTTTTCTAATACGATGTGTAGACTAAAATATTTGATTAAATTTTAAATTATAACAAATTGTATTATCTAAGGTAGCTCAAGATTCACTTCTTATAAATGTATGTTTTTTTTATTCATTCAAATAAGATTTGTATTAGAGATTCAAAAATGAAGAAGAACATATAAAAAAATTAAAATTATTTATTTATTTCTACATTTAAGCCCCAAATTGACATACGATTTAATTATGATACTTCTCGTTAAATTTAATATATTCAAATTCTGATAAGATATTATTCAAATTCAAAATTGATTATTCAATTCTTCATTAGAGCCTCCAATTAAAATTCCATTTAATAATGATACTTCTCATTTAATTCAATATACCCAAATCCCAATCAAAGTATTAGTCAAATTTCATTAAATGAATATATTAGGATGTCATAATGGCATACCCTACCTATTTTTAAACATTCAAGGTATTACAAGTTTTTAAAAATATAGTTCATTGTCAATTGAAAATTTTAAATTTAGATAGTTGAAACTGTATTTAAATAGTACAGATCTCACCTGATGAGCAATGGAACTGATTTTGGTAGCATGATATGAGTTAAACGGTTGATTTCTCAAGCATTGAACAATAACCTTTTTCCCCCCACTTTTATGATTACTCCCACTTTTTCTTTTCTCTTTTATCTCCTTTATATCTTTTGTAATGCCAGATAATTTCGTCTATCCTTATTATAACTATGGAAAATTTTAATTGAAGCAGATCACGGGCTTGGAGCCGTTCTTTTATTTTATTTCGCAGGCACTTTTTAACTTCCATTTTAAGCCTTGTGTTTGGATTTATTTTTTAGTTTGGATTTTTTTTTTTAACTTCTTGACTAAGCTTTAAAGTGGCAAATATAAAATTTAAGAAAAAAAGAGGGGAAAAAAGAAAAAGAAAGAAAACTCGGCTTGCTTGTCATTTTCACACAAACTTTAGGACCCAATTAGGTTGCTTGAAGGTTGCTCGTAATTTTGCGATTTGTGAAGGAAACAACTTCTTTTTTAAATGATATTTATCATTTGTCATTTGACCATTTTCCTTTAAATTGCAGCGTCTAGAAGTTACCTCACACAGAGGAACATTAAGAGTTAAAATATACAAGAGTAATTTGCTTTTATGTTGGTTATTTCTTTCTGACCTTCAAATCGCATCATAAACTTTTATCTAGAGAATATTCAAAACAAACAATACTTCTTCTTCTTTTTTTTAATAGAAAGATTTACATAAACTTTTTTAATTCAAATGCAGAAACAAAATCTCAAATCAAAATTTATGTGGCTTAGCTTTAAGCCACTACTCTTACCCAAAAAATAAAAAAAAGTTTATATGGATTAAACAAACGTTAAGGTTTATCCAACGCTCCAAATATTTTCCTAATACATCCATCACCGTAAAATATTTTATAATATATCCAACACTCTAAATTGTTTTTTTTTTCAAGTATCCAATACTATAAAGTTTTTTTTTTTTATACATCGAGCATCTTAAAATATGTTTTTAAGGTGCATTCAGCATTCAAAAAATACTTGAGGGTATTAGACGCACCAATACATTTAAAAAAGTATTTTAAAATGTTAAATACCCCTTAACCCATTAAACAACCTTCTCTTCACTCGAGACTTTCGGTTTGGCCAGTACATTACTTGAACGCTTCACTGATCCATCACACTAAAATGACCCGAGTAGTCCTTTATAATGCTCACAAAGAAATTGAATAGAGATACTATCTCTTCTAAACCTTACTTTTATTTCAATACAAAAGCAAGATGAGTTATATTAAGTCGCAAGCACATACAATAAAGGGGGAAAAAATGGCAAACCACATCCTCACTGTTTCTGGAAAATAATGGCAAACCATATCCTCACTGTTTCTGATAATTTTACCTCAAATTTGAATCATCTGAAGCAATTTATATGTGAAGCGCAGAGAGAGAGAGAGAGAGATAGGAAGAAAATAGTACGCTCCACTTCTAGATGGTACACGGTTCGTGCACGTAGAAGTAGGACGTACCATTGTCTCGCCATCAATCTACCTAACCAAAATGAAGTACTTCAGAGGATCCAAATCTTAACTTGCTCTAGTTCCCATGAATGTACAAAGACTATTCAATGCTTGGTAAACTTGCCAAGGACATCGAAGTAGTCGGGGAATGTTTTCCTTGTGCAACCGGGATCGTTGATGGTCACCGGAACATCGGCGCAAGCAGAAAGAGAGAATGCCATGGCCATTCTGTGGTCGTCGTATGTGTCAATAGATGTGACGTTCAATTTCTCTGGCGGGGTTATCACACAGTAATCCGGGCCTTCTTCGACCGTTGCTCCGAGCTGAAAGAAGTACAAAGTAAATCACTGAGAATCTCATTCCTAAATATCTATACATATCTTCTTTCATTTACTAAAATCACATTGACATTCAGTCTATTTTCAAAAGGTTATCAACACGCATCTTGTTTTTATTTACACAAAGACCTCTAAAACAAATATTATGCAACACAAGTCTATGTTGTGTTGAAATTATATAGACATTCCTTTGTTTTTCAAAACGTCCACAAACCTCCCTAAAAAATGGAAGGACAATCTGTAATTTAAGAGAAGCTTAGAATAAGTCTGGGAATAAATTCTTTATTTCCAAGGGAGAATTGTACACGCTTCAAATATAGAAGTCTGTATCATTTTAATAAAAATCAAGGGAGGTCGTTTGTAGAATAAGCCCGTGAGTTTTGCAAATACATTAGAAGTCCATGTAGTTTTTTTTTTTAAAAAAAAAAAACAAACAAACAAAGGAAGATTTCTAGTCATCTACTGAAGATTGACTTAACAATTTCTCTTTAATTTAGGTGTAGCAAGGTACTGACCTTCCTGAGTTCAGTGCAAATAGCAATCATTCTTTCTGTTTCTTTGACTCTCCAACTTGCCACTACAATTAGAGGAAAAAAATCAATACCATGTCAGCAGAGAGCGACTTTGATAAATGACATTGAAGGTCACTAAATGCATCACAAGACGAGATTACAGGAAACAATAACTTCCCCAATTCAATGATTACATGGAAGAATGATAAAGCATTCGATAATTACAGGAATGTTGTCACTTATTTTTTTAACTTTATTTGTTTTGTACATGACCTCAGCTACACAATATGCTCTGCATAGCAGAGGATTTGTTTTTTTATATACCACCATGCAACACACATACTCGATCTTCTGCTTCTACAAGTAATGATATCACTATAAAAAGCTTTTGAGTACATGCAATGTTTAAGATTGTGGAAAAAAGTATTCCAATTCCAAATATTCATGCGTTATACCCACAGTAATTAAATACGTTGGAAGTTTTTTTATAAGCAGTTTATAGGGTGCGTATGAGAGGAAAAATCATACCGTCTCTTATAATGGTGGTACCATTGGCAAATAGTGCAACTACTGCAAGTGTCATGGCAACATCGGGCATCTTGTTCATGTTGACATCAATGCCTTGCAAGAATCTATAACCTGAAGAATCTCGTGGGGGTCCAGTGACAGTAACACTATGCTCTGTCCAAGAAACTTTAGCCCCCATCTTCTCAAGAACTTCAGCAAACTTTACATCTCCCTTTTGAAAAAGAAATATCAAGTTACAAAAAAGCATGACTTCACATGTACAAAAATGCAAAAGTAAATACAACATATTTTATCGCTTGACAATGGATGCAACAAAGCAGGTCGGTCAAACATACTTCTGATCATTATCCCCCCATTCAAGCCTTCTTTGCTTACCCTTGTCAATATTTGGAATAGGATGTGATACAATCAGTCATTTATGCAATGTTTTCTACTTACAGACACCAAATTTCTGTTTAATATATGATAACTTGTTCTTTGCGATAAAAGGCAAGTTCAAGGATCAAGCTCCTTCATTTCACATATCTCTCAAGCAAAAACAAAAGAAAAGGACATTTAGGAACAAAAGAAAGCAACGTGATAAGTAATACAAATATAATTACATAGATACATTAATACAAGGGCAAGTGTATGTAAGGGGGGAAGTAACTAGAGCAAGCCCCAGTTCACAGTGACAGGTGCAAATTCTAAGCATTGGATCTTGTCATTTACATAAATGGCCAAAATTTTTCTGTATTAGGAGCCCATCTAGTTAGATTACTAGTTTTATGTGATAAAAAGTCCAACAAATCCTGATAACAGGATCTAGAATGGTCAAGATTAAATCTCTTCATTTTACAATTTCTTTTGAATCCTCTGGTTTGGGATCAAAGGGCAATCATACAGAACACAACAGACAGAAGCTGAAAATGAAATCACTCAAGTACATTAAAACAAATGAGAAAGAACTTTTAATATGTCATCAAGACAGGTTTTCTGCTCATAAAATCTCTTAAATCCTTTTCTGATGCAGTAAATGGCATCCTCAATGAGCAATGTATATTAAGAATTAAGAATAAATGATGCAAGTGCAAGGCATGGAAGGTAAATACACGCTTAAAAAGAAAGAGTCAGGTATGGCTTAGAAGGTCACACAATGACCATGATTCTGAAAGATCAAAATGATAAAGGAATCTGCTGAAATGATAAATGATAAAAGGCAAGATTCGCGAGTTTTTGTCAATAAAAGCAGGTGGGAAGAATGAAAAGGCTCAATTATGTAAGCAAGCATTTAAATAGAAGACATACCAAAAAGGCTGATGGAAAATAAGTCATTACAATAAATAATTCCAAGTAGAGATACCTGTAAACTGCTTGTTCCACAGCCCTTAACAGTGATAGTGCCACCAGTTACAGCTGCACCTGCAAGGAAGTAACTGGCACTAGAGGCATCACCTTCAACAAAAGCATTGCCTGGAGACCTGATTAGGAAACAAAATGGTTAATCTCACTTCAACTAGATGGTACAAAGCAATATGGCTCAGAATTCAAAGAAACCTACTTGTACTTTTGACCTCCTCGGATCAAGAATCTATCCCAGCTATCATTGTGTTCCACCGAAACTCCAAATCGCTCCATCAATTTTATTGTCATTTCAACATATGGAACAGAAATCAGTTTATCAATAATTTCAATTTCCACATCACCAAGGGCCAATGGAGATGCCATCAGCAACGCAGTTAAGTATTGGCTGCTAATTGATCCAGACAGCTTCACCTGCAAGAGAAAACAACATTCATATTAAGTTAAACAACACTCATTACAGCATACTGGTAGAATATGGAGTGAAGGTTTTTAATTGTGTAGATGTAGATTAATAACAAATAGGACTTTTTATGCTGCCATGAACTGATTTTCGATATCAGCTTAATCATTTGGAATTCATAAACTGGAAAGAAGTCGTTCTATATCCTCATAATTCTGATTCCTGAACAGATATCCATTCTTTCTTTAAATAGTAATGCATTTTGCAGTCCCTTCAACCACTCAGAAAAAGGAGAAAGATGAAAAATGGAAAAAATAAAAGGAGAATCGACCAAGTATCCAACCATAAGAAAAAATGAGATCTTGCTCAGGAAAGGAAATTTAAATAAAACTAAATACATTACAATATAAACTCCTCTACATCCTACTCTGACATATTCAATTAGTACCTATTACTAATACCAATATATCTAAATAAACCAAAATAAACCTATCAGCCAAAACTAAAAATTTAAATTTTTAAAATTTTTTAGACAAGGGAAGTAGGTCAGGACCACAAACCACTCCAAAAAACAATGAAACACTGTATAGTGCAAGCCTCACCTTTCCTCCAGGAAGTCCTCCTTTCCCAGTCACACGAACAGGTGGACAGTTTGTGCCCAGAATACAATCGACATCAGCACCAAGCTGTTTGAGACCTGCCACCAAATCTCCAATTGGCCTCTCTCTCATTCGTGGCACTCCGTCAAGAATATAGCTGAAATTAATTGAACATTCTACAAGTCAATTCATTGTGTCAGACAACCAAGGAAGAAGAGACAGATAAAATTAAAGAAGTGCGAAACCCTCTGTTTTAGTTCTCTTAAAGAATGCATTCATGTGCTACGAACATAAGGTACTTTTCTAGTTAATATATAGCAAAAACACAGCTTAAAAAAAAAAAAAAAAGATCAAAGTCTGACTATCTAGCTTAGATATTTAGACCACAAAAAATAAGCCAATCAGTAAAATAAGAGTCCATTACGGTAATTACCTCAGACGAGGTTCTAACCTATAAGAAAATATGCTTTCTCAATTAAATTAGTGGGTGGAAAAATACCGAAAATTATAACTACTCCATAGCATGGAAAATTTACAGAACATGATTTGATAGGAGTAATTTCAAAAATTTTATAATTAACAAATGACAGACCTTGCATTTCCACCTGCTGCAACCACAGCTGCTGTCAACGGGCGCATTGCTGTACCAGCATTTCCAAGGAATAATTTAACTTCATTATTTGATTCACTGCTAGCGGGGAATCTCCCACCACAGCCTTCAACAACTGCTTGTTTGATTTGCTTGTTATCTTGCACATTTAGCCCAAGGGTACTTAGTGCACCAATCATATAATGAATATCCTCACTATCTAACAAGTTGTCCACAACAGTTGTTCCCTAAACAAAAACAAAAATAGATACTTCATAGCCGAACTCAAAAATAGATCTGTTGATAACTAAAAAATGTATCAATGAGTCATAAAAACAGTGCTTTTAAGATTATTATAGCCATTAATGTTTTATTTTTACAATCAGAGCTAGCTCTCTCCATTTCATCAGTTCTTAATCCTGCAGTTGGATTTACTTAATTCAATCAAGTACAAGAGAGATACCAATAGGCTTTACCAGCTAGAGCCCCTATCTTTAATAAAAGACAAGCATTGATTGAAAAATAAAATCAAAGCTTACAAAAATTCACATTTTAAAATCCAACTCATCATATCTGATGTGCATGCCAAATGTATTTAGATTAGATGGGACACCACAAATTGCATATCAAAAACTATATATATGCATATATATATATATATATATATATATATCAGTGTCCTTATTCATGAAAGTATAATTACTTCCTCCAACCCAAAACCATATCAGCAAGTTTTATTTTATTTTATTTTTTTTAAAAGGAAAACACTAAAAACTATCATGGAAGATAGGATATGTTGAAGGGGGCATCTTTGTTGATTAACATTAGTTTGTGTCTTGCTTTGTCCATGGATGGTTTAACAGCATATTTCGTAGTTATAGAAGAAAATTTAGATATTCTAGACTCAAGGAGTTTCTTCATTTTCTTGCAAAAGCGTTCTTACTTGCAATTGCTGTGATCTTATGGATTTTCTGAATCAACATAATAACAATGGTGCTTTCATTTTGTTCTCCCCATCCCATCGTTGATGGGACATGATTTACTATTTACTAAGCTTGATGATCCCAACAGCTCCTTGGAAAATTGGAAAATAGCCATGCCAAAATAAATCATAATGGATAATCTTCACAAAGCACCTTTGTGGCACCAACAATTGCATGGACTCCTATGATATATATGTATGCTTGAAATGGGCAAAAATACAATGCTCTTATCAGGTGCATATTAATATAGGGTTTTTTCTGAGGGTAGTTGGAATTTTAGAAACAGCAGTAATAGATATAATATGAGAAGGATTTGCATTTGCATCTGAGGCAGCTTTCAAAATAGAGGACTAGTGTGCTGAACACACATACACACAAGTGGAGACAAGCCATCTTCATTCTCCACTTCACATAATTGTTTCATCCATGATGCGATCTATGACACTGTCTACTACTAGTCTTGAGAATCTCATTTTAATTTAAGACTCTCTCATAAATGCTATAATTTGCCTATGAATCACGGAAAGACTACTAATCCTGAAATGAGTGATCATATACAAAATGAGGATCAGTTTCCAATCATTTTATTGGAATATGATTCTTGCTTGCAATTTCTAAGATTAGACTCGTCACAGTTAGACTCAGGAAAGCTGTAAAAGTGAAGCTAATTAGGCACAGGTGCACAATGCACATCTATTTCTCAATATAGCCCGTTTTATCCATCTAGAAAAGGCATTTATTGGCCTGAAAAGGGCATCACTGTTTTATCATGCATGGAATAAAATTGAATTGAAATTGAAAATCAATATCGTGCATATGAACATCAAAATTCCAAAAACAAACGACTAAAAACAAGAAGTCACCTCCGAGAGAGCAGCAAGAAGCAGAATTCGATTGGATAGAGACTTCGACCCAGGCAAAGTAATGGTACCGGAGATTTCTTTAATGGGTTGCAACACAATCTCCGGCACGGTTGCCGCGGCAACTGACGCAGAAACCCTAAACCTACCCACCTTGCGATTTCCAGCTGCGCATCCATTACCACGCTTCAAGTTCCAACATTTTGAGGAGCCCCACAGCTGAGACCTCAATGAAATGGAACTGGAATATCTGGGCTTGTGGGAATCGAAAGCATTAGGAAGAACTTGAGCACTCTGAGCTAAATTATGGATTCTACTAACTTGAGCCATTGCAAAGGCTCACACTTTTTTGGTGCTCAAAGATCAATCCTCTTTGTTTCTCTCTGGCTATATCGTCCCAGAAGTGTTTGGTTACAACTAATTTCGGGGTTGGGGACTGGGGTGGTTGGTAGGTGATGGAGTCTGTCACAGCCCAGGTTTCACCAACCAACTGAGAATTTGAGATGCAAAGAAGAACGAGAAAATGGAGTCCGCCTAACATGAACCAGAGCTCCACCTACCCCCAATGAAGATGGGTTTGGTGGCTGTGAAACGTGGGGCTTTTGAGAGGGCCAATACGAGAGAAAAAGTAGAAACTATGAAGTAGTGAGAAAAATGACAAATAAAATAGGGAAAATGACAGATAAAGCCACTCTAATATATACAATTCCAGTTTGGGTCCTAGAATTGTAGAAATGACAGATTGGGTCATTGACCCAATCTGTCATTTACATAATGAGGGCAAATGGACAAATTCGCCCTTATTTCAATTTTAAACAAGGACAAATTTGCGACGGCTGAGTGAAAATAGAAACAGAGCAAGAGGCGGGAAGCAACGAGACCGTGGAGGAAGCGATTTTTCTCTGTGAAGAAGGCAGATTTCAGGAAGGGAGAAAAGGGCTGCCAGTCGCATGTGGTAGAAGAAGCAAATCCGGTGGTAGAAGAAGAAGGGAAATTAGGGCATTGGCGCTCATTTCTTTCCTTCATTCAGTGGCTGTGAAAGAATTTATTCAGGTTCTCTCCGTTCATTTCTTTCTCGGCTCGAATAACATTGTTTCATTTCATTTGTAGTTAATCTGTTTTTCTGCGTATACTGTTATCGCGAGCGTTTGTTGATTCGGTTGGAAAAAATTTTGTTCCTGAAAAAATCCGAGAAAATGACACTAAGTTCTTTTAGCGGCAAGGTGGCGAGGTTGTTACAGAGGAAGTAATTTGAATATAGAGATTACAGAACTGATGTTGTGGGGATTCCGAACTTTTTCTGGCTATTGTTGATGAACTCACTCTTAAAGTGTTTTGATCATTACGAATGAGTTCTAATTTGCATTGTCTTGTGGGTATAATTTTTTCTGTTAAAGGTTGAACTATTTCGTTTGACATGAATATATATAATTGTTCAATTGCATCATTTTGCTTGGGCATCACTATTTTGGAAGTAGACAGACCCGTAGAACAGAGTATCTAAGGTCGTTCTTCTATGTCAAGCATGGCTGCTGAGTGAGGGTGGAGGGAAATAATGTATCCTTGATTATTAGAGTCCACTATTTCTATGCATGTTGCAAAAACAATCAGTTCAAGCAAAAAGATTGCTAATTGGGTCTGCTCCTTATTAAGTCATCGTAGATCATGTATTTGAATTGTTGAGGATTTATTTTTGTATCTGGAGCAAACGTCATTGAAATTGAACTGGTTTCCTGCATGTCTACAACTGGAGACGTTCGGTTTGTTCTCTTGTTATAGAAATGTTTGAAGGGATTAGGTGATGATGGTTGTTGATGAAAATTGATGGCTATTGCAGGATAACAAATATGTCAGCTGATGAACAAGGTCCATCTAAACCTGTGAGGAGCGGGTTGCTTCTGTTTAGAACTGAGTTTATGAATAAGTGTAAGAAGAAGTTCAAGAATGTGACCCAATGCACTAAAGCAGTGACAAAGGCATGGAAAGAACTGCCTGAATCAGAGAGACAAAGATATAAAGATGAGGCAAAGAAAACAAGGCCACCAAAGGCAACAACGAGCAACTACCAGCTTCCTTTTCATTGTCGTAGTGCACTAGGACAGTTCATTTCCTTGGCAGCGTATGTTAAGGACAACAAGGATCTGAAAGACGAGGTTCAAGCAATGGGGTTGTCAAGGTTGCTAGAGTTGAGACTTCGTAGACTCCCTCGAGACATTTGTGCTGCTATGATGCGTTCATATGATCCACCAACGCAGCAATTTCTCATTAGGGGAATGTCTAGAAAACTGGATGCAGTAGATGTGCAAATGCTCCTAGGCATACCCCATGTTGGGAGAAGGGAGGTGACATCTGAAGTTACTGAGGACGACCCTGCATTTATAAGCCTTAGGCTTAATTATTTCCAGAAGTCTTATACAGATATTTTGAAGGTGATAACATCTGGACAAAAGAAGGGTGATGAATTTAAAATGTTGTTTATGCTCCACACACTTGGAACTCTGTTATGCCCCACTTCTAGTGGAAGAGTAAGTGAGCGACTAATAAAGGTGGTGGCTGCAACAAAGGATTCATTTGTGGAATATGATTGGGCTACGTTTGTGGTGCAAGAGCTGTCGAAGGAGATGGAAGATTATTTGAGGGTTGTGAGGAAGCAGGATGGCAGCTGCAATGTTGGTGGATGCATATACCTGTTACTGGTATGCATTTTTTTTATTAGTTATTGTTTTGCCACTGTAACAGTGTTAATGTCATTTAATTGGTGATACAGCTATATTTGCTTGAGTATTTTCCTATAACTGAAAGTGCAAAGCATGACCACACTGAGGCCATATCATTCTGGACGGATAAGAGGGTCAACGAAATGAGTAATAAAGAAAGAAAGAGCCGTATTGGACTTCTCTATTCAGAAGGGCGTGCTAGAGTGCCTGATAATAAGGGAGGAAGCGAATCTGTACCTTATCTAGACCCGGTAAAGGCAACCTTGTTAAATAGTGATTTTGTTTATATTATTTAGTAATATGTCATGTTTACAAACTTCTGTAACCTTCTCAAATATTTTTGAAATAACAATACATACTGAAAATTTTTTTGGTTTCCTATAGGAGTTGAAGGATTTGCGTGAGAGGTTGGTGGGGATGATTAGAGAAAATAGCAACAAACTTGTGGCTATTGTTGACAATGAGCTGATGAAGGTACAGCTGGGAAGGGAGTACAGGCCGAAATCTAACAATAAAAGGCATGTACGGCCCCATGAGGAAGAACAACTTGAAGGTGAAGCTGATGGAGAAGATGATGGCGAGAAGGACAAGGATGGTGATGCAGAAGATGATGGCGAGAAGGACAAGGATGGTGATGCAGAAGATGATGGTGAGAAGGACAGGGATGGTGATGCAGAAGATGATGGTGCGAAGGACAGGGATGGTGATGGAGAAAATGAAGATTCTGAGCATGATATTGAGGAGGAAGAAGGTGAAGAGGAAGATATTGAACAAGTAGCATTGCAATTATCTCCTATCACCATCATTCACCCAGATGCTGAAGGAGGAGCATCGGATGAAGAGGAAGTACCGGACAAGGCAGAACAAGTAAGAAGATCGAAAAGGCCGATGAAGCCCGCCCCAAAACTACAGTCTCCCTGGGTTGTGCCAAAGGTTGTGAAGAGAACAAACCGGAAGATGGATGACAAGGAAAAATTTTTCATCACTGTCTCCAAAATGTGCAGTTCAGCTGATGGTGACAAGTAAGCCTTTTATTGCTATTAAATAAATGTGAATGAAACTTTTTGTGGCCTGTGTAAGCAAAATGACTACTTGATCTGCAGGAGGTTGGTTGAGTTGTATGACTTCCATGTAACTCGTGATGATCTAAGGTCATTGGGTGGAATGCATAGAGTTAGTAACCATGTAATGAAATCTCCACCTGATTAGCTATTGTGTATAACAGATGTTGTGCAAGCTGAAACTTAAAAATTTTCTCATGTGTCAAACAGGTCATGTCAATGGTGTGCCACATGCTGATGGGAGAAATAAAAGAGGGGGGTGGACAAGTTAGACGACACATATTTGATGCCTACTTGATGGTAAGATTGCTGTAATATTACTTAATTTCAGCAATAGTTTACGTCAATATGCTTATAGTGTCATATTTTGCAGTCCAAACTTTGTAGTCCAGGGTGGAGTGTTGCAGTGAGCAAGAAGGAACTACAAGAGGAACATGTTGGTTACAACATTGGGGATTGTGACTTGATTTTGGGACCAGCACTTGTAGACCAACACTGGTTCTGCTTTGTGCTGGAGCCGAAGGTCATGAACTTCTACGTGCTGGATTCACTGAACGTATATGTTAGTGGGCAGCCAAAGAAAAAGAACAAGCAGAAGGGAACAATTGTTGACGATATGGAAAAGTTCCACAACATTTGTGTATGTACCAATTATTGTTTATAATTAATCTGTTCCATTTTTATTTCATTGATTGCTATTGTTTTATCCAGCGGGACCGGTTTCACGATATTATAGAATTGGTTCAGCCAAAGTTGATTGGGAAGAAGCCAAAGCCTGATATAATTTATCCTGATGTTGCAAAACAAAACAACATGTGAGTGTGATTAACTTTTTTGTTCTTTAAATTGATTGGTTGGCTGGATGTTATTGGGCAAAATTGTTAACACGTCATGACATGCTGTGTGCAGCAAGGACTGTGGAGTCTATGTTATGCTATGGTTAAAATCGTGGCATCCACAGGCAGCGCTTAATTATACTCCTGTACGTTTTATGTAATTAATTATTGTTTGTTGTGATTGATTATTGCCTTATGTGACGAGGAACTCAATGTCTGTGCAGGATCAAGTGGCTCAATTCAGGCGTGATCTAATGTGGTGGATGGTTAATCATCCTAACAATGCATGTCGTGATGCTGCCTTAACACTATTGGAGGAACAAGAAGATACTAGAAAAAGCAAACGACAGCGATCAACTCAATAAGAGTGTCAAGAATTAGTATTTACATGTGTATAGGACAATTTGGAAAGGTTTCTTCAATAGTAACCATGTAATTTCATAGGGGATGATGCTGTACCGGTAATGTACATAGTAAAATTCTGGGTGATTACCAAGTTACGACTTGTTATTAAGTTCAGTACTTAGATCTATTTAAAGGATGACTATAACATTTTTATCGTTACCTATATTCGTTTAAGCAAATAACTAGTCACTGATTTGTAGTTAGTGGTGCGCAATGAATAATTATATTCATTCACTAGTTCGATTTGAGAAAGCACTAGAAGTGTGTAATCATTACCTACATCTGTGTAGAAAATAACTACTTACTATATG